GTGCACCATCCTCACAGTAATCCAGTCCAAGTGGTCCCAGCAGCAACAGCTTAGTTCTGTCACTTTGCTATTTGCTTTTGTGGCACTTGCAGACAGGGCCAGCCTCAGAGCCAGGCAAACTGGGCCCATGCCCAGAGCACCATAGGGAAAGGCTAAGGGGCAAGTGGGCACGGGTGTTGCTAGGCAAAGAGGATAGAGGGGTGCACCATCCTCACAGTAATCCAGTCCAAGTGGTCCCAGCAGCAACAGCTTAGTTCTGTCACTTTGCTATTTGCTTTTGTGGCACTTGCAGACAGGGCCAGCCTCAGAGCCAGGCAAACTGGGCCCATGCCCAGAGCACCATAGGGAAAGGCTAAGGGGCAAGTGGGCACGGGTGTTGCTAGGCAAAGAGGATAGAGGGTATTGGGTAGAGGGGTAGTAAGTTGGGACATTCTGGAAGTGCAAGGGTTGGGATGAAGTGGGCACTGTGCAGATGTTAGGGGCAAAGGGGGCTCAATGCAGGGATTAGTGGTAAAGGAGGCACTGGATGGGGGTGCAAGAGTTGGGGAGCTATTGGATGCTAGGGGAAATGGGTAGTGCTATGCTCACAGCGGTCAGGGGCACCAAAACGCAGGTTTGCCCAGGGTGCCATTTCCCTAAGGCCAGCCCTGCTTCCAGATTTGAGAGTGGAGAGAGATCTGCACTTCTCCCTGGCAATTGTGTGCAACTGACTGTTTAGGAAGGTTAGAGTGAGGAAAATGAGGGACTGTTATGAGTCTCCATTTAAAAATGGACTAGACAGAGTTCTGGATAAAGTACTGCAGGCAACAAACCTACAATGGTCCTGGCATGGGGGATAAGTACCTGAATGTGGCGAGCAGGGGAGGAAACCTTCAGAACACAGCACTTTCCATCCTCGCTGTAGGCATTTGTCACAGGCAGGAAAACTTTTGTAAGTTAAAATGTTTTGTGGCATGGAAGTGTGTGTGTCGGGGACGGGCAGTTCCACTTGGAGCAAGTTCTAGGTTTTCCTCCAGGAGTGAGGGGAGAGACAGCTCTGCTCAGGATGAAATTTGTGAATATTGTGCCAGCCAAGCAAAATCTGTGCAGAAGGGCAGCTACAAATGTGGAGTTTCACCCCTCGTCTGCATCCAAATAGGGCCCATGAATCTAATCTTTCACTCTCTTTCCTCTCTAGATTCATGGCTGGTAAAGGGCTGGTCATCTACCCGGAGATTGGGGACAAACTGGACATTATCTGTCCCAAGGCAGAACACTCCAGACCTTATGAATACTACAAGCTGTACCTGGTAAAGCAGGAGCAGGCAGACTCCTGCAGCACTGTCATGGATCCTAATGTTCTAGTGACTTGCAACCGCCCTGAGAAGGAGATCCGCTTCACCATCAAGTTCCAGGAATTCAGCCCCAACTACATGGGCCTGGAGTTCAAGAGGCAGCAGGACTACTTCATCACATGTAAGTCATCCTCCTCCTCTCCCTCATTACCCCCAACTTACCACTGTCTTCCCATGTATTTTCAAAGCCTTTCATTGGCCTAATATTTGTTCCCCCTTTAAACTCCTTTTTAGTAGCTTTCTGGAACAGTGCTGGGGCATGGCTTCACTTCACCACAAGAGGTCATACTCCATTGTCTTGCTTTGAGAGCCAGGAGGAGGTATAGAGAAAGAGGAGTAGGAGCATGTTTCTGATATGGCCTCTGTTCATGACTGATGCCTATGGACAATCTCCTTGATCCTGTACTGTGAGGGATCAAAGGGAGGGGAGCAGTGGAGAAGAGTGGAATGTAGACTGCCTCTTGAGTTGGTGTATGCTTCTTATCTAGCCAGTGTGCTGTGTAAGTAAGCACCCCTCCTCTTCTCTTCAGTCTCCCCATTCCCCACTAAAACACCACAATACATTCTTGTTTAATTAAAGGGGCAGAGGGTATTCTCTCACATTCTGAATGGACCAGGAGCCATGTTCAGTGACTTTTTTGCAGCATGTATGTCGGGGATTTCCACTGAGCAGGAAAGAGAGACCTTTTTTAAGCACTTGTTCTAGAAGTAGAAAGAACTTTGTAGATAATGGATCTCAGTGTAACTGTGAGAAATTGGCCCAGTTGTAGGAAATAGCTGTTCAGTTTCCCTTCTGGACAGAAGTTAAAATTAAGCATGTTGGCTGCTTGGAGCTGCCCTTATTAAAACTGATCACAAAATTACCCAGAGAAGAAAATCGTGACACAGGTCTTGGCATTTAAACAAAAGGGGATTGCAGTGTTAACTGGCATTTTTTGAAAAGCTGGTGAGGAGGCAGGACTGAGATTCTCCAAAGCCTGGTGGTCCTTGTAGACACAGGAAAGGGACCATTTGAATGTGCTCAAGCTCATCTTGCCTTTTCATTGCTGTAGAAGGAAACACCCCTATCCTTCTTTACATATGATTCCTACTGATCTGCCCTGAGGAAGCAGGAAGTTTCATTCCATGGGTTGACTTTTTTATCTGTAAAGGTGCTGCAGTCACCTCATCTCCTGCAGCCAATTTGGGTTCATTGTGCCATGTCTGGATTCTGTTAGCAGCTGAGCTTTTCTTTCTTCTTTCGTCTCTCCTGTGGATTCTCCTGAACCTTACTGTTTCCACTCAACTTGGTGTACTGTACTAACCCAATAGCAAGACAGCAGGAAAAGGGCACAGCAACCCCGCCACAACTCATCTGTCACCTCATGCATCATTTGCTCCCTGTTTGCTTGCTTGCTGTCATGTGCTTCTAACTTGCCAATCAGCAGCCTGCACCAAAGGTCAGCCTGCTGTGCCAGAGTTGAGCTCAGACACATGTAATTGGGCACATCTTATTCAGCGGGGGTGGGGGGGCAGAGTCTACTAGAGCAACATTAACTGTAGGCTGCATGTACAGCAATTGACTGGCTCAGTAACTGCCTTAGTGGTAAAAACATGCTTATAGACCCTTGTGGGGCTGTGCTGCTCATCGTAGCTAGCGAGATCCAAATCTTCATGTAGTGTCTGCATTTTGCTGTGGGTTAAACTGAATGGAACCTGGTCTCCAGAGAGCAGCAGTACAGATGGGCTCAGGCGACAAGATTCAGAGCCAGACACAGATTTTTAGACGAACCCACTCTTTGGGGACTGTATGAATCTAGATTTGCTTAGGCTTATCTCTAATTCTTGGTGGGATCAGAGGCTGGAGTTGGAACTTACAGAAAGTTGGCACCCTTGATGTGATTAGCAAACAGAAACTGAACTGATTGTTTGAATGTGCAGTGTGATATCTTTGCAGCAGTGATTTGTTCTAGGCCTGAAACAGTTCTTTTACAGCCAGCTCATTATGGTTTACTTTTGAGGAAGAATTCAAAGTTGGGGGTGGATGAAACCAGATGGTGGCAAGTCAGTGTCACCACTTGTTTTGATCAGCCTTCCTCAGTCTCCCCTGAGAATGAGGGAATCATTAGAGGATATACCCCTCTCTCCCACAACACTACACTTTTTGGGTGAGGCTCAGGGTTTGGGAGTCAGTGATAAGATTCAGTTGCTCTTGCCCTTTGTCTGTTCTTGGAATCCTTATAAGACTCAAGGGTTTTTGGCAACAATGAGAGAAACACCTTTGAAACAAGGTGTACTTGGTCCAGAGATGACAGCATTGAGATCTGCCCTTTCTAACGTTTTCTTCAGCAGAGTAGCCTGTCACTTGACTCCCAGACTAATTTCACTTTCACTCCTAGCTGTACATTCTAGACTAGAATTGTGGTTCCATTTTTCACCTGAAGTTAATGTCCCTGCCCACCCACTCACACCTTCCCGTACTTTATTCACACACTTTTAAATTCCCAGCCATTACTTGTTCCTGGAAGATGATGATAGAGCCATGAATGGTGAATCGAAAACTCATTCGGGAGGCCCTTCATGGCAGCCAGCCACTGCTGCTACATCCTCTGAGTCCAAACTCAGATTGCTGTCTCCAGCACGGTGGTTGTCCATCTCAACTAGGTCACACCTCGGTCCTTTCCAAGGCTTCTCAGCCAAAGGAAGAAA